CCCCAAAACCCCAAAACCCCAAAACCCCAAAACCCCAAAACCCCAAAACCCCGTGATGGATACAAAAAGTTGGGAAAATTCATCAAATTAAAAAGGAAATGCCTGAAGAAGAAAAAAATCCTGTAGTAAAAGGAGCAGCTATAGGTGGGGCAGCAGCAATGGGAACTGGAGCAACTCTTGCTGCTGGAGGAACCGCAGTTGCAGTAGGACTTGAAGTGGAAGCTGCTGTAGTGGTAGGAGCAGCCTGTGTGGGAGTCGCTGGAGTAGCAATACTAGTAGGAGGCGCAGCAGTCCTTGGAGGTGTCGGAGTATATAAATTAGTGAAGAATATCAATAAAAGAAGAAAAAACCAGAAAATCCAACATAACAGAGAAGCCGAAGAAATTCAAAGAAGGCAAGCGAGGGAGAAAATAAAGGAATTGTTCCTACCATCTCAGCCGATTGGGGATGATGATACTCCATCTCCAGAAGAAGACTTCCTCTTGGAAGCTGATCATGAAAGACAAGTAGCTCCTTCAATAACAGTAGGGCATAATATCATATCGAATCCAGTACTAGATTGATTTATGGGAGCAGCCTTGCAGAGCTTGATGAGTCTCCCTGATTTTGTGGACTATTTCATTCATAGCAGAAATTCTTCCGATTTTAAAGAAGAAAATAAACAAGAATCATTGATAGTTGAAATGATGAAAGGTTTTGTAAAAGACTACGCATATTCACAAGATCAGGAAATAGATGCTCAAGTATTGAGATATGCCTTTGATCAAGATTTTCCAAGCGATAAAGAACACGATGCTTTTGAGTTTTTGTTGGAACTGTTTGATAAAATTCGAGTTGCCAAAAATTCTGAAAACATTCATGATCATTTACAAAGATGTATTGACAGAAATGGAAATCTGAAAAGATGCCAAAAGTTACACTCTTCGATCATCGACAAACTGTTTTCTGGAATAACCGAAACTATGTACAAATGCCAGGTTTGTTCTCAAGCTACTTATTTGTATCAAGAATTTTTGTACATTCCATTAAGATACGATCCAGGTAACCCTAGAGCAGGATTCGAAGAGTTTTTTGATCTTGAAGAAAAGACTCATGAAAGCTTTTGGAGATGTGAAAATTGTGAAAGAGAAACAAAATGGTTATTGAGAGAAGAAACATTCAAATTTCCAAAATATCTAATATTTAAATTTGAAAGTAATTGTTCTTCAGAAGAGAATGAAATTAAATCCCCAGTGGACTATCCAAAAAGCTTCACAAAGGAAGATCCTTTCAGTGAATCCAAGCTCAAATACACCCTCACGAGTACAATCATCCATGAACAAGGTTCCTCCTGCGGTCACTACTCATCAATCTGCCTCAGAGAGAACCAATGGTTCCACCTCACTCCTCATAGCTCTAAGGCCCTAGAAAATCGTGAAATTAAAAGCCCAGACGCCTACATCCTATTTTACACCGCAGAGGAAATAATCTAAAATTCTCCAGTTCAACAAGTTGAATATTCCTCGGGGTTTTGGGGTTTTGGGGTTTTGGGGGTTTGGGG